CTTGATGTCAATTAGGCCAGCACTCCTTTCTACATTATTTCCTAATCATTCCCACTTGTCCAGTTCCCTTGTTTAAACCGAGATATCCTAGCAAAACTCTCTGCCTCCTTAACTATTCCTTGGCTACAGCCACAGCTCATTGCCGTCCTCCTCTGCGAACCCGTGCCTCCCTCAATAGCTCCCCTTAAGTCCCCCTACCTTAATCCTAGGGTGCGGGACACCACCTATTCATCCATAGCTACAAGTCACTCACCCCTCATCATCTTCTTAAAACCTAACCACCATTATCCTGCCCAGTGCCAGTACCCCAACCCTTAACACCCTTTAAAAGACTTAAAAAGCCCACTGGGCATGGTGGGTCAGGCCTCTAATCCCAGCACTTTGGGAGGCCGAGGCAGGTGGATCACCCGAGGTCAGGAATTCAAGACTAGCCTGGCCAACGTGGTAAAATCCTGTCTCTATTAAAAATATAAAAATTAGCCAGGCGCAGTGGTGTGCACCTATAGTCCCAGCTACTCAGGAGGCTGAGGCTGGAGAATTGCTTGTACCCAGGAGGTAGAGATTACAGTGACCTGAAATCCCGGCACTGCACTCCAGCCTGGGTGAAAAGGTGAGACTCCATATCAAAAAACCAAACAACAAAAAAAAAAACAAACAAAAAAGGTCCCAAAGCTTGCTTGTTATCACCCGTGTATTATAACATGGCCTTTTAAAAACTTTATTTTAGATATTTTTATTTCTCCAAATTTATTTATCAGGAGTGAATGAAATAAAGAATATAATTGAGTCCCATTATCATCATCATGGAAATGTTTTTTTTTTTGAGACAGAGTTTCGCTCTTGTTACCCAGGCTGGAGTACAATGGCGCGATCTCGGGTCACCGCAACCTCCGCCTCCTGGGTTCAGTCAATTCTCCTGCCTCAGCCTCCCAAGTAGCTGGGACTACAGGAGCGCACCACCATGCCCAGCTAATTTTTTTGTATTTTTAGTAGGGACGGGGTTTCATCTTGTTGACCAGGACGGTCTCAATCTCTTGACCTCATGATCCACCCGCCTCGGCCTCCCAAAGTGCTGGGATTATAGGCGTGAGCCACCGCACCCGGCCAGAAATGGCTTTAAGAGAAAACTGGTCAGATGAATATTACTGCTTCCCGTTATGAACCAGCAAATAATTGCCACTGATAAACTGACAGCTAGGAGTCTGTCAAGAATGCTCAAGGTATGTTACATAATACAACATGCCTGTTCACAGGGGGAAAATCCCTAGGAAATAACTTATGTGTACTTCTTGATTTCATCATACAAGACAAGCACAGACGCACCACCCATGCCTCGGAGAACACTGGACCATGCACACTTGAAAAAGCTGTGGCTCCTTTATCGTGAGCAGTCTTCCTCCAGCACTCAAGCGTGCCTGTGTACATGTCTGTTCCTTTGCACCCTGCTGCATCACCTTGCGGTGGTGAAGTGTCAAATAAATAGTAAGTCAATCCAGCAACGGCAGTGACAGTCTGTGCGATCATCCAGCGGATGACAATGTGCGTGTTCTTGGGATCCCGGAGCATTCCCTTTGCAGTGTCATAGATACCGAAGTAGGCAGCTTGGAAGATGGTAATACCCTGCACAGACACGTTAAAGTCTTGATACAGGTCCTTAATCCCATCAGGTTTGTAGATCTTAACCAGGCAGTCGCTGAGGCCTAGAATTCACTTTCAGCTCTAGCTTTACCCACATTTGCTGCTAGTCAGGTACGGGCAAAATCAAGAGGGTACACAAAACACAAGGATGTGGCCCCAGAAGCACCGCCTGATGCCAGATTCCCTGCAAAGTCGCGCCAAAACTGGGTCCTCTTGTCCACACCACCCAGTTAGATCTGCTTGTATTTATCTTTGAAGTTGAAGTTAAGAGCCTGGGTGGGGAGGTATGTGATGACATTGGCAGGTTACTGCACCAGAAGGACACGACTCCCTGCTCCTTGGGAATGCGGGCCATGCAGTCTATTGCTTATCTGCGCTGATCAGCTTGCTGGCATGCTGCACCTGCAGCCGCAGCTTGACTAGCTCGATGGGTGCTACCACCGTCCTGGAGATGGCTGCGGCCACTCCACTTGCCAGGAAGTCCTTGGGGAAGGACACAGTGGCATCTGTCATGTTGAAAGAGGAGGCAGGCTGCTCCAGGACGGGACTGGGCTGGGAACTGGCTTTGACCCCAGGGCTGTGGGGCTTTAATAACATGGCCTTTTAATTCACCCTCCTATCTTCCATACCCTCTTCCACAACTCACTATTCTATTTTTAACCTCAAAAACACTTTTTTCTTTTTTTCCAGACCTCCTAGGAACATAAAAACACTTTTTTTCTAAATCCCAAATTTCTTCCCCATCTGTTATAATCCTTTACCAGCTTACACACACTCTCCCTGCCAACCATATCCAGTTCATTTCCCAAACCCCAACCCTGTCCACTAAACAACAGCCTCTCTTCTTCCTAGGTGTATACAATACTTTCGCCTGTGGATACAATGTTTTGCCCTCCTAAACAAACCACTTTATAAACTTATAAAAGGCAACCTATCTGACCCCAGAGGCCAAAAATCCTTCCCCCATTCTTCCTTCCCTTCTCTAAAAAAGACCTTAGAGACCCCTTTAGCGCTCCCCAAATCCTCTCAACCCTTCTCTTTCTACATAGCAGAAATAAAAGGCTGTGCCATTATAATTCTTACAAGAGCCAGGCCCACGGCCTGTGGCCATTTTATCCAGGCAACTTACCCTCAGTCCTGGGCTGGTTCTCATCCCTGTTCTCGGCCTGATACTCTTAGAATCCCTTAAAAATCAGAGGCTAGTCCTCTTCCCCTCCCTTAAAAAAAAAAAAATCACAGGCTATGCCCCACTTACCCTCTGTATCTCCCACAACCTCCAAAGCGTAGTTTCCTCTTCACACCTCACACAGTTAGTTACTTTCAGCCACTGGCCTTCTCCAGCTTTCTGCAATCACCCCTGCTACTTAAAACACACCTCAGAATGTCTCTGATTCAATTACTTGCTGTTTAACTGTGCTCAAGTTCACTGTACTAATTTACTTTTACACACCCTGCTTTTGTTCAGTTGCCAATTTACACTTTTCCTCCAGGCAGTTACAGCTGATATTTCACTCTTAATCTCACTCCCATTCTCTGCTCATACCCAAACTTGTTAATGAAAGTGAGTGGTTACTTATAGATACCACACTTCCTCATACACCATGAAAACAGAATCTGCCCTCCACACGGTTACCCTAACCTGTAACAGCTGCAGCCCTTGGGGGCTCCCCCGGCATTTGGGTCCAAACCTCAACACCCACAGAATACTTTCTCATCTTTACACTTGCAGTTATGTTGAAGCCAAGGACTTTTTTCCTCTGTGGTTCTTCTTACATCTGCCTTCCTACCAACTGCACAGGCACTTGTACCCTAGTTTTCCTTACTCCCAAAATTCAGTTCACCAATATGAAAGCCTTCCTGTTCCCCTAGTGATCCCAACAAGACACAAGCGGGTCATTCCATTAATGCCCTTACTAGCAGAGTTAGGAATTACTACTGCACTCGGCACCAGGTATAAGCAGGTCTGACCACCTCAGTCGTCAGCTTCCATAGCTTCTGTAATGTTTTCCGATTAATCTCTTAATTCGCAAAAAATCGTATATAAGCAACAGCTAATCAGTCAATACGATAAATGGTCCTCCTAACAACCCCACAATATCACCCCTTGCCCCGAGATCTCCCAGCAGTCTAAATTCTTTCCCATGTTTAGGTTTCCAGGCCACCCCCAATCCCATTTGAAGAAACACTGCCCCATCAACCTCTGTGCCGGCCTTCCTAATATTACACTGCCCTCCACTCTTCATTTCTTTTTTTCTTTACTTTACTAATATAAAAAGACAGGAATGTACCGTGGACAGCAGGGCACCCCCATGATCCGCACATACAACTCTAGAGGGCCTTCCGGAATTAGAAAACCTGAAATGGCTGTAAGATTGTAGAAAGAAGAAGAAATTATCAACCCCAGCGGCGGCTACTTAACTTTAAGACTTTCTCCATTGTTTCTCATTCCGGCCTCCATTGACAAGGCCACTGGACTTTGTAACTGACTTTGACCAACCTCCTTATGCCACACCCTACGACCCCTCCCAGCCTGCAAAAAACAGCCAACTGTAACTTCTGTAATTTTCCACTGCCCACCCCAAACCTATGCACCCAGGTGAATAAACAGCCATGCTGCTCACAGAAAGCCTGTCTGGGGTCTCTTCATTCAGAGCGCGCGTTCTAACAATAGTTATATGAAATCCAGACAAATCACATTTTAGATCAATGAAAATGCAAAGGAATTTTCCTAATTGCTTTTTTTTTTTTTGACGAAGTCTCCTTCAGTCGCCCAGGCTGGAGTGCAATGGCGCGAATTCGTGTGTTTGAAACAAAGCCTGGGGGATGAAGAGTTGACATTGTTGTGGTCAACGGAAGACAGGAGGTCCGCTGTGTAAATCCGGAAATCCAGAGATTTGCCGGCAGTCCTAGAAGCTAGGCCGGGGATTACAGTCGCGGATTTGCGTCCCTGCTTCGCATATATCTCGAAATCTCAGGAAAAACCCGAGGCCCCTGGAGACAAAGAAGCAACTGAAGACCCCACAGAACGCTGCTCCTCCCACACGAACCCCACACTTGAGGCAGACTCCCCCAGTGACCCTCCCATAGACCCACACAATCTGGGGAGATGCGGGGCTGCGGGCAAGGAGCTGCCCAGAAAGGGCTCCAGGGCAGGGGCCGCAGTCGCCGCGAGGATGGGACAGGACGCCCGAGGTCCAGGCTGCTAGCCCAGCCCCACCTTGCGGCCGAGGAAACCGAGGGCTGAGCTGCGTCAGGGGACGGGAGTCCCAGACCACGGAGACAACGGCGGGGAGATCTGGTTCCCACCACGGCGGGTTCCAACCAGGCGTACCGTGTCAGGACCTCTGGCCTTGAACACTCACCATTTCCCAGCTTTTGCGGTATCCTGGTTCCTCCTTCCACCTCCTGCTGCCAGTCCTGGCCCCGGAGCAACCGAGCACAGAGCGAAGAAAAGGGTGTGAAAAGAATCGGCGGGATTTTTAAATCTCGCAACCTCCTCCAGGCAAGGCGCCTGATGGACACTTCTCACGACCCCGCCCGGTGGCTCTGATTGGATACTGCCTAAGATCCCGCCCCCTGGGCCCTGAGTGACAGCAGAAGTGATCTCCCAGTGCTCACCACCCCGACGGAGACCGTGATTGGATAGTGCCCCAGGTCCGGCCCCCTGGGCAGCGAGGGACAGAAGTAGTGATCTTCCAGTGTTGAGAGGAACCGGCTAAACAGGTTCCAGACCTGGGGAGAAGGTGGAAGGTTGGCGGTGGTTCCGCCCTCGGCAGGGACCTGACCCCTCCCAGGGAATACTTGCATTTAAGAAGAATTCCCTGCCAGTAGTGTGCGGGCCCTTCCTGCTTCTTCCTCCAGGACTGGGGGGTCACAACTGTGTGCAGGGAATCCCAGACTCACTGTCCAGTGGAGCCTTCCCCTGGCTTCAGAGCAGGATGGGAGTGAACGCCAAAAAGACCACACTGCAGCAGGAGGGGGCTCTGGTGTCCTCCAGGTATCAGGAATGTGGAATGAGGCTGCTGGCTGCATGGCCAAGCCTTTCTCCCATTGTTTCGGGAATTAGCAGACTGGAGAGACTGATGGGTGGAACAGGAGGATTTTGTTAAGATGTGCGCCTTAGTAGATTTACTTTTCAAACACTGAGTATTGAACAAAGCTTGACTTTTATACATGAAACGCAGAGCAGAACAAAGGGAGTTTATTTTAAATGACAGGTTTACAAATTAAGTTTACATAATGACTTACGCGGCATACGTCAGGCCTCCAACTTCATGCCTGACCATTACAGCCTTGGTGACCAGCACGTATGCCTTTGGATGGTTCCCAGCAGCCACAAAGTCCGAAGTAACCAGACGGCCACAAAGAGAAATGAAACAACTTGTTCCTGCCTCAACTAATTGCTCTCCCCCTGCAACCTGCAACCATTGTTCCTGCTCAGTCTTGCGAAATTTCCTCCTGGACATTGGGTTTCTCAAGACCCCCTCCCCTGTAACTATGTAATTTGCCGCACCCTCCCCTTTGCTTGCAACCCATAACCCCCACCCTATGATCATGCCTATTTGTAATGGAAAAGCCCTACCCTTGTGACCATGCATCCCGTGACGCCCTCCCCCTCCCTAAAATAGATTATCACCTTTAACCATTTCCCCCAGTCTATATAACCATTCCGCTTTCCTACCCACTTTGCATAACTCCTTTCTCAGACTTGGCCCTCTCGCACCCAAGCCGGAAATTAAAACGATCTCCTTGCACACACAAAGCCTGCCTGGTGGTCTCTTTATGCCAGCGACGGACCTAACAGTTTAAATGGTCACTATTTGGGCTGCAAGCACAGCTTATCTCCCTTCCTTTACTATGGTGTTCAGGGCAGCAATTTAGCCAGCCTAGACCTGTTTTATGACCTTTGCTGTGCTGCTTAGATGAAAGATAGCAACTTTTAGTTATTAGCTACAGAGAACAAGAATACATGAATTTGAAAACTTATAACTTGCAAAGCAGAATACAGTTTCACAAAGGTGAGGGGGAGGGTTCAGGGAAGTTATGCTTATACTACAGAAAAGAAAGGAAATTTGTTTTTCTGCTTCACCACCTTATCTCTCAGGATACTCATTTTCACCAAGAAAATAAAAACACAGCGGCCAGGCGCAGTGGCTCACGCCTATAATCCCAGCACTTTGGGAGGACGAGGCGGGTGAATCACGAGGTCAAGAGATCGAGACCATCCTGGTCAACAAGGTGAAACCCCGTCTGTAGTAAAAATACAAAAATTACCTGGGCATGGTGGTGCACGCCTGTAGTCCCAGCTACTCAGGAGCCTGAGGCAGGAGAATTGCCTGAACCCAGGAGGCGGAGGTTGCGGTGAGCTGAGATCCTGCCATTGCACGCCAGCCTGGGTAACAAGAGCAAAACTCCATCTCAAAAAAAAAAAGCAACAATGGAATAAAATTGTTAAATGTGTGGAAAAGCTGGAATTATATGGCAGCAATAGTCTATAATGGAATCAAAAGAGAAAAGAAGGAAAAACTTGAACTAGCTGAGAGAAGCAGTTTTTCAGCCACAGTTCAGCAGGAAATGCCCCATTCAGGAAGGAGGTTAAACAGATTATCAACTTGGCAGCCAGACTCGGATTGCTGAAACCGAACCCCCGAGTCAATCACAACCTGGTGATGAGACAGGATCACTGAAGGATTCAACTCTAAGCTGTCAACATGCCTTCCTGTCCCCTCTGCATTGTGTGGCAACACTCTCTCCTTCCAGAACTTCATTTTATTTTTTAGTTTTTGTTTGTTTGTTTGTTTTTAATTGAGACAGAGTCTCTGTTGCCCAGGCAGGAGTGCAATGGTGCTATCTCGGCTCACTGAAACCTCTGCCTCCCAGGTTCAAGCAATTCTCCTGCCTCAGCCTCCCAAGTAGCTGGGACTACAGACACCCGCAATCATGCCCAGCTAATTTTTGTAAAAATGGTGCCACTGCGCCCAGCCCTAGACCTTTGTTTTCACCAGCAGAAGATTCACCTGGAGTCAGTTTAAGGTACTGACCTACATAAATTGTCAAATTCGTAAACCTGTTCTCCATAAGGCAATCCAATGGCAACAGAGCAAGACTCCATCTCTAAATAAATAAACAAATAAGTAAATAAATACACAAATAACAGATTTTCTTCATATATCAAATCATAGTCAGACTCCAGCTATTCTATGCGTAAACCAAAAATAAAATTAAAGCCCAGCCCTCTCCCCCATGCAGAGGGATTTCCCACTCAGCTAAGGGCAGCCCAAAGTAAACCTGAAAATCTAGAAATCTAGTTCAGGCCATGATGGAAAGCAGAGGTGGAACCTGTAGTCCCACCTTAGCACCTGTAGTACCAGTTACTTGGGAAGCTGAGGTGGGAGGATCCCTTGAGGAGGGAAATCAAGGCAGCAGTGAGCTCTGATTGTACCACTGCACTCCAGCCTGGGTGACAGAGTGAAACCCTGTGTCAAAAAAAGAAAAGAAATAGAGGGCCGGGCACAGTGGCTCAAGCCTGTAATCCCAGCACTTTGGGAGGCCGAGGCGGGTGGATCACGAGGTCAAGCGATCGAGACCATCCTGGTCAATATGGTGAAACCCCGTCTCTACTAAAAATACAAAAAATTAGCTGGGCATGGTGGCGCACGCCTGTAATACCAGCTACTCGGGAGGCTGAGGCAGGAGAATTGCCTGAACGCAGGAGGCAGAGGTTGCGGTGAGCCGAGATCGCGCCATTGCACTCCAGCCTGGGTAACAGCAGCGAAACTCTCTCAAAAAAAGAAAACAAAAGAAAAGAAATAGATTATCACTGCGGTGGCTCACGCCTGTAATCCCAGCACTTTGGGAGGCCGAGGCGGGTGGATCACGAGATCAAGAGATCGAGACCATCCTGGTCAACATGGTGAAACCCCATCTCTACTAAAAATACAAAAATTAGCTGGGCATGGTGGCGCGTGCCTGTAGTCTCAGCTACTCAGGAGGGTGAGGCAGGAGAATTGCCTGAACCCAGGAGGCGGAGGTTGCGGTGAGCCGAGATCACGCCATTGCACTCCAGCCTGGGTAACAAGAGTGAAACTCTGTCTCAAAAAAAAAATAATAGCTGTCATTTTATACTGGATATGAAAATTAGGAAAATGGGGCCAGGCGCGGTGGCTCACACCAGTAATCCCAGCACTTTGTGAGGCCGAGGTGGGTGGATCACGAGGTCAATAGATCGAGACCGTCCTGGTCAACAAGATGAAACCCTGTCTCTACTAAAAATACAAAAAAAAATTAGCTGGGCACGGTGGTGCGTGCCTGTAATCCCAGCTACTCGGGAGGCCGAGGCAGGAGAATTGCCTGAACCCAGGAGGTGGAGGTTGCGGTGAGCCGAGATTGCGTCATTGCACTCCAGCCTGGGTAACAAGAGCAAAACTCCGTCTCAAAAAAAAAAAAAAAAAGAATTCCCTGCCAGTAGTCTGCTGGCCCTTTCTGCTTCTTCCTACTGGATTGGGGATCACAATTGCGTGCAGGGAATTCCAGACTCACTGTACAGTGGAGCCGTCCCTTGGCTTCCGAGCACGAGGGGAGTGAAGGCCAAAAAGACCACAATGCAGAAATGGGGGTTGGGGAAGGCTCTGATGTCCTCCAGGGATCAGGAATTTGGGATGAGGCTGCTGGCTGCATGGCCAAGCCTTTCCCCCACTGTTGTGGGAATTAGCAAACTGGAGAGACCAATGGGTGGATCAGGAGGATTATTTTTATTTATTTTTTGAGACGGGTATCACCGTGTTAGCTAGGATGGTCTAGATCTCCTGACCTAGTGATCCACCCGCCTCAGCCTCCCTAAATGCTGGGATTATAGGCATGAGTCACCATGCCCTGCGGATCAGGAGGATTTTAAGTGAATCTTAATAAAAACCGTCTTAGCGGATTTACATTTAAAAGACTGAGTATTGAACAAAGATGAAGCTTGACTTTTATACATGAACTGCAGAACAAAGGCAGTTTATTAAAAATGACAGGTTTTACACTTACATAGAGCTCTATAAAAAAATAACATGTTTTAACTTAAGCTTACATATTGAGAACTCCCACTAGTGAGATTCTCAAAGGCGGAAAATTAGGGAAGAGACCCCTCTTTCCTGTCTCTCGTCTCAAAGGAGGAGGAAGTAAAAATTGAGAGCCATAGCAGGCATGAAGTCAGTGGCAAGGTCGGCTGGCACTGCTGACCAGGCCTGGAGGTTAAAGATTAAACCTTCCGCCCTTTTATTTTTTGAGATGGTGTTTCGCTCTTGTTGCCCAAGCTGGAGTACAATGGCGAGATCTCGGCTCACTGCAACCTCCACCTCCCAGGTTCAAGCAATTCTACTGCCTCAGCCTCCTGAGTAGCTGGGATCACAGGCATGTGCCACCACACCCAGCTAATTTCTTGTATTTTTAGTAGAGACGAGGTTTCACCATGTTGCCAGGCTGGTCTCAAACTCCTAACCTCAAGTGATCACGCCCTCCTCGGCCTCCCAAAGTGCTGAGATTACAGGCATGAGCCATGCCATCCAGCGCAGGTACTTTTTTATAGCAATGCAAGAAAAGCGTAATACAGAAGGGAAAAAGTATTCCACGCAAATGGTAACCAAAAGAGAACAGGATTGGATATACCATTATCATACTAACTAGACTTTAAGGCAAAACCCATTAAAAAACACAAAGAACACTGTCTTTTGTGTATGGGTACATAGTAAATGTATATATTTATTGGTTACAAGAGATATTTTAATACAGGCATTCAATGTGTAATAATCATGTATTAGTCTGTTTTCTTTCTTTTTTAGAGAAAGAATAAAAAGGAGTGAAGGAGAGGAAGAAAGAGGAAGAAAAAGAGGGAGAGAGAATGGAAATGTTGCTTTATTCTAAAAATGGGTATTAATAATGGCCAATCAATATTTCACTTAAACCTGAGTACGTGTGATGTGGTATTGACAAGAATGTATATTTTGTATATTTAAAGTGGAGAGCTCTATAAATATTTATTAAGTTTACTTGTTCCGGATCTGAGTTCAAGTCCTGGATATCCTTATTAATTTTCTGTCTCGTTGAGTCTAAATCTCTTTATAGGTCTTATGTATCTGGGTGTTAGGATCGTTAGCTCTTATTGTTGCATTGATCCTTTTACCACTATCTCTTTGTTGCTTTAAAATCTATTTTATCAGATGTGAGAATTGCAACTCCTGCTTTTTATTTATTTATTTATTTTTGCTCTCCATTTGGTTGGTAAATCTTTCTCCATCCCTTTGAGTCTTTGTGTATCCTTGCATGTGAAATGGGTCTGGATGTAGCATACTGTTGGGTTTTGGCTGTATCTTTTGATTGGGGGATTTAGTCGATTTAAATTTAGGGTTACTGCCATTTGATGTTAACTGGCTGTTTTGTCCATTCGTTGATGTAAATTCTTCTTTATGTTGATGCTCTTTACTTTTTGGTATATTTTTAGAAAGGCTAATACTGGTTGTTTCTATGTGTAATGCTTCTTTCAGAAGCTCTTGTAAAGCAGGCCTGGTGGTAATAAAATCTCTGAGTACTTGCTTGTTCATAAAAGATTTTATTTTTCCTTCAGTTGTGAAGCTTAGTTAGGCTGGATATGAAATTCTGGGCTGAAAGTTCTGTTCTTTAAGGATGTTGAATATTGGCCCCCACTCTCTTCTGGCTTGTAGGGTTTCTGCTGAGAGATCTGCTGTAAGTCTGATAGGCTTCCCTTTGTGGGTAACCTGACCTTTCTCTCTGGCTGCCCTTAGTATGTTCTCCTTCATTTCAACCCTGGAGAATCTAATGATTAAGTGCCGTGGGGTTGCTCTTCTTAAGGAATATCTTTGTGGTGTTCTCTGTATTACCTGGGGTTGAATATTGTCCTGCTTTGCTAGGTTGGGAAAGTTTTCCTGAATAATATCCTGAAGAGTATTTTCCAGCTTGGATTCATTCTCTCCGTCGCATTCAGGTACACCTATTAAACGTAAATTAGGTCTTTTCACATAGTCCCATATTTCTTGGAAACTTTGCTCATTCCTTTTTATCCTTTTTTCTCTATTCTTATCTTCTTATTTCATTAAGTTGGTCTTCAACCTCTGATATCCTTTCTTCTGCTTGATCAATTCGAGTGTTTAAACTTCTCAGAGTTCAAACATACTTCTCAGAGTTCCCATATTGTATTCTTCAGTTCCATTAATTCACTTATATTCCTCTCTAAATTGTCTATTCTCATTAGGATTTCATCAAACCTTTTTTCAAAGTTCTTAGTTTCTTTACATTGGGCTACAACATGTTCTTTTAACTCACAGAAGGTTCTTATCCACCTTCTGAAGCCTGATTCTGTTAATGGAATGCACTTGTTCTCCATCAAGTCTTGTTCCCTTGTTGATGAGGAACTGTGATCCTCTGCAGAGGGAGAGGCATTCTGATTTTGAGTATTCTCAGCCTTTTTACGCTGGTTTCTTCCCATCATTGTAAATTTATCCACCTGTCATCTTTGTAATTACCAACTTTCAAATTAGGTCTCTGAATGGACGTCCAAGTTGTTAATTCCCAGGGCCGAAATTTGAGCAACGCACTGCACCGGCTAAAACAGCGGCATTAAGACTGATGGTAGTTTTCTGCCCAGGAATCTCCAGTCTGGCTTCCTTCTTGAGTGCGTAAAAGGCGACTCTGCCTTCCCAGAGCTCCAAACGTTGGTCAAAAGGGGAACCAGTCCCGTTTACTCTGCACCAAGAGCTGCTGCACCGAGGTGCCGGCAAAACCGCTGCACCGGCCACAAAAGTCGCGCTGGTGACCCATGGGGCTCCTCCACTGGGAATCTTCTGGTCCGTAAGTGACAAACATTTGTCTGAGTGTGGCGTCCTCTTGTTCTCTGCGCTTTCACTGGGAGCTGCAATCCTGAGATGTTAGCGATCTTGGATCCGCCTCTATCTAGTCTCTTCATGCTGTTGATAAAGACATACCTGAGTCTGGGAAGAAAAAGAGGTTTACTTGGGCTTACAGTTCCACGTGGCTGGGGAAGCCTCAGAATCATGGTAGGAGGCAAAAGGCACTTCTTACATGATGGCAGGAAGAGAAAATGAGGAAAAAGCAAAAGCAGAAACCCCTGATAAACCCATCAGATCTCAAGAGACTTAGTCACTACTGTGAGAATAGCATGGGAAAGACCATCCCCCATGATTCAATTCCTCCCCCTGGGTTCCTCCCACAACATATGGAAATTCTGGGAGATACAATTGAAGTTGAGATTTGGGTGCTGACACAGCCAAACCATATCATTTCACTCATGGCCTCTCCAAATCTCATGTTCTCACATTTGGAAACCAAACATGTCTTCCCAACAGTTCCCCAAGGTCTTAACTTATTTCAGCATTGACCCAAAAGTCCACAGTCCAAAGTCTCACTTAAGACAAGGCAAGTCCCTTCCACCTATGAGCCTGTAAAATCGAAAGCAAGCTAGTTACTTCCTAGATACAATGGGGGTACAGGTGTTGCATAAATATAGCCATTCCAAAGGGGAGAAATTGGCCAAAACAAAGGGGTTACAGGGCTCATGCAAGTCTGAAATCCAGGGGGCAAATTTTAAAGCTCCGAAATGATATCCTTTGACTCCAGGTCTCATATCCAGGTCACACTGATGCAAGAGGTGGGTTCCCATGGTCTTGGGCAGCTCTGCCCCTGTGGCTTTGCAGGGTACAGCCTCCCTCCCACCACTTTCACAGGCTGGCATTGAGTCTGCAGCTTTTCCAGGTGCACGGTGCTAGCTGTCAGTGGATCTACCATTCTGGGGTCTGGAGGATGGTGGCCTTCTTCTCACAGCTTCACTACATAGGGCACCAGTAGAGACTCTGTGTGGGGGCTCTGACCCCCACATTTCCCTTCCACACTGCCCTAGCAGAGGTCCTTTATGAGCATCCCACCCCTGTGCAAACTTGCCTGGACATCCAGGTGTTTCCATACATCTTCTAAAATCTAGGTGGAGGTTGCCAAATCTCAATTCTTGACTTCTGTGCACCTGCAGGCTCAACACCACTGGAAGCTGCCAAGGCTTAGGGTTTCAACCCTCTGAAGCCACAGCCCAAGCTGTACATTTGCCTTTCAGCCCCGGCTGGAGTGGCCGGCACACAGGGCACCAAGTCCCTATGTTGCACACAGCACAGAACCCTAGGCCTGGCCCATGAAACCACTTTTTCCTCCTGGGCCTCTGGGCCTGTGATGGGAGGGGTTGTGTGAAGATATCTGACATGACCTGCAACATTTTCCCCATGGTCTTGAGGATTAACATTTGGCTCCTTACCGCTTATAAAAACTTCTGCAGCCATCTTGAATTTCTCCTCAAAAAATGGGGTTTTCTTTTCCTCTGTGTCAGGCTGCAAATTTTCCAAAGTTTTATGCTGTTTCCCTTTTAAAATGAATGCTTTTAACACCACCCAAGTCAACCAGTCACCTCTTGAATGCTTTTCTGCTTAGAAATTTCTTCCTTCAGGTACCCTAAATCATCTGTCAAAGTGCCACAAATCTCCAGGGCAGGGACAAAATGCCACCAGTCTCTTTGCGAAAACATAACAAGAGTCACCTTTGCTCCAGTTCCCAACAAGTTCCTCATCGCCATCTAAGACCACCTCAGCCTGGATCTTATTGTTCATATCACAATCAGCATTTTTGTCAAAGCCATTCAACAAATCTCTAGGAGGTTCCAAACTTGCCCACATTTTCTGTCTTCTGAGCTTTCAAAACTGTTCCAACCTCTGCTTGTTACTCAGTTCCAAAGTCCCTTCCACATTTTGGGTAGCTTTCAGCAACACCCCACTCTGTTGGTACCAACTTACTCTATTAGTCCATTTTCTTTTTTTTTTTTTGAGATGGAGTTTCGTTCTTGTTACCCAGGCTGGAGTGCAATGGCGCGATCTCGGCTCACCGCAACCTCCACCTCCTGGGTTCAGGCAATTCTCCTGCCTCAGCCCCCTGAGTAGCTGGGATTACAGGCATGCACCACCATGCCCAGCTAATTTTTTGTATCTTTAGTAGAGATGGGGTTTCACCATGTTGACCTGGATGGTCTCGATCTCTTGACCTCGTGATCCAGCTGCCTCGGCCTCCCAAAGTGCTGGGATTACAGGCTTGAGCCACCGTGCCCGGCTATTAGTCCATTTTCACACTGCTGATAAAGATAAACCCGAGACTAGGATGATAAAAAAGTCTAATTGGCTTTATAGTTCCACATGGCTAGGGAGGCCTCAGAATCATGGCAGGAGGTGAAAGGCACTTCTTACATGGTGGCAGCAAGAGAAAATGAGGAGGAAACAAAAGTGGAAACCCGTGATAAACCCATCAGATCTTGTGAAACTTAGTTACTACCATGAGAATAGCATGGAAAAGACCAGTCCACATGATTCAATTACCTCTCCCTGGTTCCCTCCCGTAACATGTGGGAATTCTGAAAGATAAAATTCAAGTTGAGATTTGAGTGGGGACACAGCCAAACCATATCAAATCACATCAGGATAAATCAGGTATCCAACACCTCAAGCATTTATTGTTTCCTTGTGTTACAAACAATCCAATTATACTTTTATTTTATTATTTATTTATTTTGAGATGGAGTTTCACTCTTGTTACCCAGGCTGGAGTGCAATGGCGTGATCTTGGCTCACTGCAACCTCCACCTCCTGGGTTCAAGCAATTCTCCTGCCTCAGCCTCCCAAGTAGCTGGGATTACAGGTGCACACCATCATGCCCAGCTAATTTTTTATATTTTTAGTAGAGACAGGGTTTCATCCTTGTTGAGCAGGATGGTCTCCATCTCTTGACCTCGTGATTCACTCGCCTCGGCCTCCCAAAGTGCTGGGACTACAGGCGTGAGCCACCGCGCCCGGCCCTATACTTTTATTTTTAAATGTACAATAAATTATTGTTGACTGTAGTCACCCTGTGTGCTATCAAATACTAGATCTTATTCATTCTAAGTATAATTTTCTACCCATTAACCACCCCCACTTTCCTGCCTCCTCCACTACCCTTCCTAGCCTCTGGTAACCATTCTTCTACTCTTTATCTCCATGAGTTCAATCAGTTTAACTTTTAGCTCCCACAAATAAGTGAGAGTATGTGAAGTTTGCCTTTCTGTACCTGGCTTATTTCACTTAACATAATGACTTCCAGTTCCACCCATGATGTTGCACAAGACAGGATCTCATTCTTTTTTATGGCTGAATAAATGTACCACATTTTCTTTATCGATTCGTCTTTTGATGAACACTCACTCAGGCTGCTTCAAAATCTTTGCTATTGTGAATAGTGCCTCAATAAACATGCGAGTGCAGATATCTCTTTGATAAACTGATTTCCTTTCTTTTTGGTGTATACCTAGCACTGTGATTCCTGGATCCATTGGGTAGTTCTCATTTTAGATTTTTGAGGAGCCTCCAACTGTTCTCCACGGTGGCTTACTATTTAACATTTCCACTGGCAGTGTACAAGGCAGTTTCACATCCTCACCATCATGTTATTACCTTTCTTTGGGATAAAAGCCATTTTAATTGGGGTGAGATGATATTGTTGTCTTTTCACTTCTCTGATGATGCTGAGCACCTTTTCATATGTCTGATTTTCATTTGTCTTTTTTCTGAGAAATGTCTATTCAGATATTTTGCCCATTTTTAAATTGAATTATTAATGTTTTTCCTATTGAGGTATCTGAGCTTCCTATATATTATCTATCCCTTGTCAAATGGATTGTTTGCAAATATTTTCTCCCATTTTGAGGGTTGTCTCTTCACTTTGTTGACTGTGACTATTTCTCTTGCTATACAGAAATTTTGTTTTTTGCTTGGTGTTTTTTTCCTTTGTTTTTTTTTTTCTGAGACAGGGGTTTGCTCTCTCACGTTGGAGTGCAGTGGCTCAATCTTGACTCATTGCATCCTTGACCTCCTGGGACCAAGTGATTTTTCTACCTCAGCTTCCCAAGTAGCTGGGACTACAGGTGCATATCATCACGCCTGGCTAATTTTTTGTATAGATGGGATTTTGCCATGTTGCCCAGGCTAGACTTGAACTCTTGGGCTCAGCCTCCCTAAGCGCTGGGATTGCATGCATGAGCTACTGTGCGTGGCCTACTCTTCCCTCTCTTATCCTTGAGCAGCAGGAGTCTCTCCCCATAGACACCACAGGTAGAAATGTGCTTGGTCACACCTGAAGCCAGTACAGTTCTAAGTCTCCCCCAAGGCCATTACAAGTACTGTATGGCTACCCCTGCAGATCACTCAGGGCCCAGGGGTTCAGCAGGTGATAAATTCTGCCAGGACTGGGTCCTTTTCTCCAAGGCAGTAGACTCCCTTCTGGCCCAGGGTGTATCTAGTGTCCAGGAGCTAGGGATTGGAATAGAGGACTCAGGAATCTGCCTGGTGCCCTATTATACCGTTGCTGAGCTTGTATCCAAGTTGCAAGATAAAGTCTTTACTCTTATCTTTCCTCTCAAGTAAAAGGAATTAGTCTCTCCCCGAGCTTCTAGCTGTACTGCCTGGGGTCAAGAGAGTAGTGGCGCAAGTACTCCCTTCTCCAACCCAAGTAGTGTTTCAATAGGTCTTATGCACCCCAAGTCCACTGGCTCCAAGCCCACCCAACACCAAGACTTACACAGGAATTGCACTTCTTGGGACTGACCCTGACTACCTTTCAAGTTTATTTAGGACACCAGAATATCTTAGCCCATGGTGGTAGGGTTTGCCAGAACTCAGGTTCTGGTAATTGGGATGGAGAATTAGACTCTGGCTAAGGCGATCTAAATGCTCCCTCCATGGGCACTGGCTGAGTTCTGCCCCATATTGCTTTCTGCTATGACAGGGCAGCACTGATTTCCAATGCAAAGTCCCACAGTCACCATGTTCTCCCTCTCCCAAGCTCACAGATTCTCTCTCTGTGCCATGTGACCTCTGCGAGAGAATGGGAAAGGGGTGGCATACGCAATTCAGGACTGGCTTTCCCACCCTCTTCCATGCCTCTTTACTTAATAGAAGACCAGGTACTGTGATTGCGCAGCTGATTTTTGGTTCTTATTAAGTTCCTTTTTTGTGTGGGTATCTGTTCAATCTGGTGTTCTTTTTGGGGGAAGAATCGCTGGAGGGCTCTATTTGGCCATCTTGCTCTGCCTCCTTCTGTATCACTTTTTTTTTTTTTTTTTGAAATGGAGTCTTGCTCTGTTGCCAGGCTGTAGTGCAATGGTGCAATCTCAGCTCACTGCAACCTCTGCCTCCCAGGTTTAAACAATTCCCCTGCCTCGGCCTCCCAAGTAGCTGGGACTACAGGCACGCACCACCATACTTGGCTAATTTTTTGTATCTTAGTAGAGAAGGGATTCACCATGGCCAGGATGGTCTCGATTTCCTGACCTCGTGATCCACCCACCTTAGCTTCCAAAAGTGCTGAGATTACAGGCATGAGCCACTATCCCCACCCAGCCTTGTATCACTTTTGACCATGATTTTATCTATATGGTGGGTAAAAGATCCAAAAGGCTTATAGAAACTCAAGGAGACAGGCAGTAAGTGAAAAGAAAAAATAAAATAACTTCAGTTCACATTTGAAGTTATTAAGTTCTTTTTGATCAAATTTCATGCTATAGTAAATGAACTGGATGTAATTTTTTGAAACAGGAATAAATTCAAAATTTTTTCTTGAAAGTAAAATGCTTTCAACCTAAGGTCATTTATCCAAAAATTTTTTTCCTTTTTGACCTTACTTTATTAAAAACTGCAAATATAAAACATGTATATCTAAAGGTCAGGTGTAGTGGCTCCTGCCTGTAATCCTAGCACTGTGGGAGGCCAAGATGGGAGGATCACTTGATGCCAGGAGTTCAAGACTAGCCCGGTCAACCCAAGACTTCATCTCTATTTTTTTAAAAATAGGTATCTAAAAAGACAATTTTCACATCTCAAGAATGGAAGCATTTCTCAGGCTGGGAGCACTGGCTCATATCTGTAATCCCAGCACTTTGGGAGGCCAAAGCAGGCGGATCACTTAAGGTCAGGAATTTGAGACCAGCCTAGCCAACATGGTGAAATCTCATCTTTCCTAAAAATTCAAAAATTAGCCAGGTGGCACACACCTGTAATTGCAGCTAATCTGAAGGCTGAGGCACGAGAATTGCTTGACCCAGTAGGTGGAGGTTGTAGTAAGCTGAGATGGCGCCACTGCACTCAAGCCTGGGTGACAGCAAGACTCAACAACAACAATAACAACAACACAAATTGAAGCATTTTTTTTTTTTTTGAGGCGGAGTTTCGCTCTTGTTACCCAGGCTGGAGTGCAATGGCACGATCTCAGCTCACCGCAACCTCCGCCTCCTGGGTTCAGGCAATTCTCCTGCCTCAGCCTTCTGAGCAGCTGGGATTACAGGCACGCACCACTGTGCCCAGCTAATTTTTTGTATTTTTAGTAGAGATGGCGTTTCACCGTGTTGACCAGGATGGTCTCGAACTCCTGACCTCGTGATCCACCCGCCTTGGCCTCCCAAAGTGCTGGGATTACAGGCTTGAGCCACCACGCCCGGCTGCATTTCTCTTTTTTTTTTAAGAGATGGGCTCTCACTGTGTTATCCTGGCTGGAGTACAGAGGCTATTTACAGGCGCAATCCTACTATTGATCAGCATGGGAGTTTTGACCTGCTCCATTTCCAACCTGGGCTGGTTCACCCCTCCTTGAACAACCTGGTGGTCCCCCGCTCCTGGGAGGTCAACATACTGATGCCGAACTTAGTGCATACACTCAATCGGCATAGCACACTACAGCCCAGAACTCCTGGGCTCAAACGATCCTCCCACCTCAGCCTCCTGAGTAGCTGAGACTACAGGCATGCGCCACTGTGCTCAGCTGAAGCATTTCTTATAACCAGAATATCATGGTCACATCTAATAATTTTCTAATATTAACTGATAGCATGACACTGGACTCTCATAAATTATATAAACAATGTAAAAAGTATTTTGTACAGACATAGTCTGTCTATATTGCCCAGGATGGTCTTGAAGTCTTGGCCTCAACGGATTCTGCTCCCTTGGCCTTCCATTGCATACAGAAACGCAATGTGGAAATAACTCCATTTATCCATTAAACACAAAAGACAGCATAACCGTAAAAATGTGTGACATTCCCTATCCATAGCTCTGTCTGCAGCCAGAAGGAAGAGTGAGTCCTAGATTACCAAAATAACCTTTTTGCTTGTTGCCCAGAGCAGTGGCGTGATCTCTGCTCACTGAAACCTCCACCTCTCGGGTTCAAGCGATTCTCCTGCCTCAGCCTCCTGAGGTAGCTGGTATTACAGGTATGCTCCACCACACCCAGCTAATTTTTTTATTTTTAGTAGAGACGGGGTTTCTCCATGTCAGTCAGGCTGGTCCTCTTGCCTCAGTCTCCCGAAGTGCTGGGATTACAGGACTGAGCCACTGTGCTTAGCCCCAAAATAACTTAATTCTACATTGCTGAAACTCACAAACTGCAACATTGCTTTTCTAATCAGATGAAGAACGATGTTTGCTGTCAACAGAGCATCAGGACTTAAACAGAAAGCAGCATCACTGCCTTCCAAAAGTGGTGGCCTTCTTGGTTTATGAACTCTTTGAGCCTGTGCTACAGTGTCCTCTCTGCGGTGTTTGTGGAAGCATCAAGATACTTCCACAGTCAAGGCCAATAATCAGGCTCAGCTGTGTCCTGTTCATCTCCCTCACTCTGTGCTTCCAATGTCCCTTGTTCATCTCCCTCACACTGTGCTTCCAATGTCCCTTACCTTCACTCACCATCCCAACAGAGCACCTGCATCCTGTGCAAAATCACATTTGAAGTCATGTTGGCAGTGGTGTTTCTATTCTGTGGCCCATACTATCACTACGGATGTTGTCTTGAAGGGAGAAGGATGAGTCAGTGGTTGGATTCAGTAGCAGCTAACTCTATTACCCTCTCTAATCCAAACGACTACAGAATCTGACAGACAATGACTCCACCCTTCACTCACGTGAATACATTATCTGGGGCTAAATATGTCATCTCCACACAAAGTCCCAGTTTGGTCACTGATTGCTACTCTATCCTTTGATACCTGGGCTTCGGACTGAGAAGCTTCAACAAAGATTTTCTCAACAGGAGCTTGCTGGGCACTTCGATGAAGTGACTGGATGGTTCTATGGAAGTGTACAGACAAAAAGCTGACTTTTGCATGTTGCTTTTTACTCTATAAAAGAGGGCTGTTAATAAATTAGAATAGAAAGCATACAGGCCAGGAACAGTGGCTCACGCATGTAAGTTTGAGATCAACCTGGCCAACATGGTGAAACCCCATCTCTACTAAAAATATGAAAAAAATTAGCTGGGTGTGGTGGTGGGCACCTGTAATCCCAGCTATTCACGAGGCTGAGGCAGAAGAATTGCTTGAACCCAGGAGATGGCAGTTGCAGAGTCGAGACTGCGCCATTCCACTCCAGCCTGGGTGACAAGAGTGAAACTTCATCTCAAAAAACAAAAACAAAAAGAAGCATATTATCTGAGCAAGAAAGGCTTGGTTGGAATATTGATGCGGACTTTGTTCCTTTCTAGGCTTGCATTTAGAAAATCTGCATAAATATATTAGTCTCATTAGACTCATAAAGGAGCTTTTTAAAAGTATTATATAGCTTGCTAAGAAGTAAATTTACATATTGTAACTGAGGTACATAATGGAAAACAATGTACAGTACATCACAGGAAATACTTCAGTGTTCAGAGAATAAGTAAGGCAAAAACAGATCCACAAGTCCAGGAGTCAGCCTCCCCTCACTGCAAGGCTGAGTCTCATGCTGTTAGAGAGAAACATGCCAGACACCTGCAATGGGAGACAATACTCCTAAGTGGCTATGATGAATTAAGACAAAAAAAGGGCATTCTGCAACCATGTCTTTAAAACTGGTGTGAAGGGTGTGGTGGCTCACGCCTGTAATCCCAGCATTTTGGGAAGCTGAAGCGGGCAGATCACAAGGTCAGGAGTGAGGAGTTCAAGACCAGCCTGGCCAATATACTGAAACCCCATCTCTACTAAAAACACAAAAATTAGCTGGGCTTGGTGACAGGTGCCTCTAATCCTAGCTACTTGGAAGGTTAAGGCAGGAGAATCACTTTAACCTGGGAGTTGGAGGTTGCAGTGAGCCGAGGTTGCACCACTGCACTCCAGCCTGGGCAACAGAGTAAGACTCTGTCTCAAAAAATAATAATAAATAAATAAATAAAACGGGTGAAAGATAACAGGTTCCAAATAATAAACATGACCAAAATTCCTCTCTTCTCACTAACATGACTCAGTGGTATTTCTCATAGTCAGGTTTACCTCCCACCATTCATTTTCCCTTCTGAATAAGAACAATTATGATTACCAAGTTTAGAATTAAGTTTACCTCATCAATGCATCAAATACAGAGATCATCTTGCTTCCTTGAATAGAAACCAATCAACCTAAAACAAGCACAAAACCTGTAAGAAATTCTTCAGAGCACCCTCTTACTGATATATCACACAGTCATTTATGGTTTCTAGTCATAATTATTATTACAATTTATTAAACCCTCTTTGATAACAGGTATGGTCTTTGTGGTCTTTAGCTAGAGGGCACACAAAACAGCATGGCTTAACTTTTGGTATTATGAGTAAATGAGACATTACTATCAAGATAAAAGTTGAAACTATATAAGCAAGAGAAGTAAAATTTACATGAGGAGGAAAAAATTCCTAAAGTTGTATGCACCTGGTTAATGCTGACTTCACAGTGTCTTAATAAATAATTTTCCAAAATTATAAACTTGATGTGAGCCAAGACTGAAGACAGTTAATAGTTTCTAAGAAACGTGTACAAAAGTCTTGTTTGAATAAAAAATACGTATTAGTCACATATAATCAAAGAACTGGAAATGAACTGAGGCATTACACTGAGCTGTGAGTAACAGGAAACACTTGAAATTTCCTGATAAAAGTATTTATCCTCACATGAAAGTCCTGGGTGAGGCCAGTCACTGCACAGTGCAGCAGCAGAAGCTCCCCTCTAGTTGGTTTTGACAGTAGCATGGTAGCAGTCAGGCTGAATCAAGAATACGGTCACCACTAGTATGAACAAAGGTGCTTACTACACAAATTAGATGTTATACCAAGCATCTACAGACTAGGGGAGTCAGAGCATCAGAGAATATTCCCAACCAGGACAGTCTGAATTAGTTGCCTAGTACACACATAATAATGTCTGAAGGAAAACTAAAGTAGACATTCATCGTGGGGCTTCTGGAGACCTGTGTGAAACCTATAACTCCGAGAAAACTGAAGTCAAGTAGTTTTGAGGATACTCTTGATTGGCAACCCAAAGAAGCGGGAAAATGGAATGGAAGCAGGTGTCCATACAGCCTGTATTCACATGGCTGTCTCCCTGTATGGTGCTTCAAAACCATGACTAATGCCTTCTTTGCTTACTTTCAAATCTCATGTATGATAGGTTACTGAAGAACTGTGTCATGGAATCACAAATGGAATGGATTCTTGGAAATCTAGTTCCTAAACTACCAACACTGACATAACACAATCCAGAGATCCAACTCTAGAGTTTACTGTCCTGTTGCAAGTCTCTCGTAATTTAAAGCCAATTATCTTACAAGGTCTTTCTCCACTGTGAATCTTTTCATGCAGTCGAAAGAAATAGGAAGGACTGAAGGCTTTCCCAAATTTCTCACTTTTATGGGGGTTCTCTGTGTGACTCTGTTCATGATTATGAAAGAACTGGGACAACAGAAGGGTTAGGGTTAGGGTTCTCATAGGGTTTCTCTCCAGTGTGAATTCTTTCATGTATTCGAAAGTAAGTAGATCGACTGAAGGCTTTCCCACATTGCTTACATTCATAGGGTTTCTCTCCGGTATGAGTTCTTTCATGTATTCGGAAGTAACTGGAACGACTGAAGGCCTTCCCACATTTTGTACATTTATAGGGTTTCTCTCCAGTGTGAATTCTTTCATGTTTTCGAAAAGAACTGGAACAACTGAAGGCTTTCCCACATTGCTTACAATCATATGGTTTCTCTCCAGTGTGGGTCCTTTCATGTATTCGAAATGAACTGGGGAAATCAAAGGCTTTCCCACATACCTTACATTTATAAGGGCCATTGCCAGTGTGCTTTATCATGTGTCTTCGAACACTTGCAAGACAAGTCAAAGCCTTCCCACATTCCTTACACTCAAAAAGTTTCTCTCCAGTGTGAGTCCTTTCATGACTTCGAACAGAACTGGCACACCTAAAGGCTTTACCACACTGTTTACATTCATATGGTTTCTCTCCTGTGTGAGTTCTTTCATGTATTCGAATGTACTTGGAACAACTAAAAGCTTTGCCACATTGCTTACATTCATAGGGTTTATCTCCAGTGTGAGTTCTTTCATGTATTCGAATGTAACTTGAACAACTGAAGGCTTTCCCACATTGCTTGCATTCATAGGGTTTCTCTCCAGTGTGACTTCTTTCATGTATTCGAAATAAACTAGGATAATCAAAGGCTTTCCCACACACCTTACATTTGTAAGGCACACCTCCCCTATGCATTAACATGTGTCTTCGAATGCTTACAAGAGAAATGAAGGTTTCTCCACATTCCTTACAATCATAGGGTTTTCCTCCAGGATGAGTCCTTTCACGTACTGGAAAAGCGCGATGATAACTCAAGGCTCGTCCACACTGGTTTCGTGTATATGACTTCTTTCCATATTCCTGATACTCATTTGGTTCATGTCCAGTGTGATCTCTGATGTGCCTATTAAGCGATGAAGCACCCGTGCCAACTTCTCCACACAAACTGCTTTTACACAGTTTTACTCCAGGAGTTTTCTTGTTCAGAATACCATCTGGAATCTGGCTGAAGGTTTCTTCACCGATTCTCTGTGGAATATGACTTGTGGGAAAAATGAGAAGTACATCATTAACAGTTTGTTTATAAATAATTTTATATTTACTAATACGTATTAGACTTATATATACCTTTTTCTTTCTTTCTTTTTTTTTTTTTTTTTTAAGACAGGGTCCCACCATGTTGGCCAGGCTGGTCTCAAACTCCAAGGCTCAAGGGATCCTCTCATCTCTGCCTCCAAACTGCTGGGATTATAGATGTGAACCACTGCACCAGGCCTGGACTCTTTTTTTTTTTTTTTTTTTTTTGAGACAGTCTCACTCTGTTCCCAGGCTGGCAGGCTGGAGTGCAATGGCATGATCTCAGCTCACTGCAACTTCCACCTCCTTCATTGAAGCAATTATTCTACCTCAGTCTCCTGAGTAGCTGGGATTACAGACATGGCTACCACACCAGGCTAATTTTGTATATCTTTTTTGTTTGTTTGTTTATTTTCTTTAATTTTTATATCTTTAGTAGAGACAGGGTTTCACCATGTTGGCCAGGCTGGTGGCTGCTGGCGTGACCCACCACACCCAGCCTTGGACTCGTATTTTTAACTTTATCAGGGAAACTGTAAGTTTTATGCCCTATCTCAATTGTGTGAATATGAACAGACTAAATGCTCTGCTTTAGGTCACAATCATACCTATTATCAAAAAATGATATTCATGGCCAGGCCTGGTGGCTCACATCTGTAATCCCAGCACTTTGGGAGGCTGAGGCAGGTGGATCACCTGAGGACAGGAGTTCAAGACCAGCCTGGCCAACATGGTGAAACCCCATCTCTACTAAAAATACAAAAATTCAGCTAGGCGTGGTGATGGGCACCTGTAATCCCAGCTATTCGGGAGGCTCAGGCAGAAGAATCACTTGAACCCAGGAGGCAGATGTTGCAGTGAGCTGAGATGACGCCCTTGCATTCCAGCCTGGGCAACAAGAGTGAAATTCCCTCTAAAAAAAAAAAAAAAAAAAGATATTCATATGAGGTTTCTTAATACTGTCTACAAGTGAACTATTTTGCAAACACTGAACATCTATGTTACACTTAACTATGTTTTAGGAGAAGATTTTCTAAAAACCAATCAATTTGAAGCTGGGCTTATATGTTTTGTTTGCTTGTTTTAAAAAAATCCTCCAGCACTTTGGGAGGCCGAGGCAGGTGGATCACAAGGTCAAGAGATTGAGACCATCCTGGTCAACATGGTGAAACCCCGTCTCTACTAAAAATACAAAAACTTAGCTGGGCATGGTGGCACATGCCTGTAATCCCAGCTACTCAGGAGGCAGAGGCAGGAGAATTGCCTGAACCCAGGAGGCGGAGGTTGTGGTGAGCTGAGATCGCGCCATTGCACTCCAGCCTGGGTAACAAGAGCGAAACTCCGTCTCAAAAAAAAAAAATCCTAACAATATGAAATGCTCTCAAGGAACAGGGCTTTCTTCTCTGAGTGAAAATTACCTTGTATTTCTCCTGGGAAGTTTGAATGGGTCTTCAGTGTTCTGGTCTTCCCATTGTTTTCCTAAAATTTAGACCAAAAAAGTCATTATGAATTAGTACAAAATTATGAAAAAAAGTATTAGATTTTATGTTCACAATTCACTGCAGCCATGCTTGGTTTATTCCCCCAAAGTCTCAAGGAGCTAGAAACACTTGTTCTCTAGTTTACTAAGGGAAGGAATATTGTCACCTTACCTATAGAAGCCAGGTTCCTGAAGGTTTCCCGCATCACATCCCTGTAGAGATTCTTCTGGGAAGGATCCAGCAAAGCCCACTCTTCCAGGGTGAAGTTCACAGCTACATCCTCAAAGGCCACTGAGTCCTGAAACATCCCACATGTATGGAGGAGGATGGGTGAGACTGACGGCACTGGGATCCTAGATTCTACTCCCAAGACGTTCTCATGACTCTGTACTGTCCAAACATTTATTCCAAGATTCCCCAGTCATCAAACTTAACTTCTGTCTAAACTCACTTTCTTCCACAAAGCAATTCTGCTGCTAGAACTGAACTAGCAACAGTATAATAGGAATATGACTCTGGTGAGGGAATTATGTGCTGCTGGACCACCCCTAATGCCTCTCTGTATGGTGGGTCTGTAGCACCTGTCATAACAAAGATGTAGTAACTAGCGCACAGCAAAAAGTTAACATCAGCCACCCTGAGACTGCATATCTTTAGAAATGCTTGTTCACAAAGTCTGACCTTTGACAGTATCTGGCTTTTGGACAGGATCCCACCAACCTAACTGATAAAGGAGTCGTAACTTACTAGAACAGACTCCAATAGCAAAATCTCTGTGGGAAGCAGTATAGGGATGGGAAAACCTAAATTGCAACTGATGAATTACTGAAGGCGTAGGGTGGATAAATTTAAAAAGTAAAAATCTGGCTGGATGTGGTGGCTCATGCCTGTAATCCCAACACTTTGGAAGATGGAGGCAGGAGGATCATTTGAGCTCAGGAGTTTAAGACTGGTCTGGACAACATAGCGAGACCTCTTCTCCACTAAATATAATTTTTTAAAATTAGCCATTAAAAAAAAAAAAAGGTAAAAATCCAGGGAGTCCAGTCATATGGGGCCCCTCCAGGAGTATGTGAGCTCTACCTCCAGAAACCTTATCAGTTTTCACAGTGAAGATCATAGGAAAATTGCTTCCTGCTTGTGGCAGGAAGAGGGTGAGTAGTCATTCTGAAATACACTCAGGGAATTGTTCTGAACAGATACCACCTTCAGGCCAGGCGCAGTAGCTCATGCCTATAATCCCAGCACTTTGGGAGGCCAAAGGCCAGAGGATGGCTTGAGGCCAAGATTCAAGACCAGCCTGGGAAACCAAGTGAGACCCCATGTGTCTATCAAAAAAAAAAAAGAAATGAAAAAAAGGGGAAGGGAAGGGAGATAAGAAAGAAAGAGAAAAAAAGAGAGGAAGGAAGGAGGGAAGGAAGGCAGGGAGGGAGGGAGGGAGGAAAGGAAGGAAGGAAAGGGAAAGAGCCAAACCTTCTGGGACAAGGGGAATACCTAATTCTATTCCCCTCTACCCTTCCTGCCTCCACTAAAGAGGCATGAGGATAAGAAAAATGTATGCAAATCACAACCCAGCAACGCGAGCTTCCTAAAATGAGGTCAAATTGCATGTCAATGGAATGTTTACTGTCTCCCCACACCATATTCCACATCAGTGGGACTCCTGGATAATAACAAGGAAGTACAATTGAAAGAATGCCTCACACCATAGTAAAGAAGCCTCTATGGGTACACCAACAAATGGGGTAATATGAAGTAGACAATTTCTAGGCTCACACAATCTACCAAGACTGGGTCATGAAGACAGAGAAAATCTGTGGAAACCTACAACTAGTCAGATTGATGCAGTAATCAAAAAGCCCCAACAAATAAAAGCCCACAAATAGTTTCACTGCTAAAATCTATCAAACATTTAAGGAAAAATTAACACCAATCCTCTTCAAACTATTCTAAAAAAAATGTAGAGGAGGGAACACATCCCAGTTCATTCTATGAGGCCAGATAGACAAAGATAACAAAAAGAAAAAAAAAAGCAGACAGATGTCCTTTATGAATACCAAAGTAAAAATCCTTAGATAAGTAATCAAAGGTATAGTAATCAAAACAGTGTGGTACTGTCACAAAGACACAGATACAGACCCTTGGAATAGAACACAGAGCCCAGAAAGATACACACACATAAATGGCAAAATGATTTTTGCAAGTGTGCCCAGATTCATTATTGGGGAAAAAAAATACTTTTCAAAAAATGGTGTTGGCAGGGATGCAAAGATGAGAACGAAAAGACACTGGGGCCTACTTGAAGTGGGAGGGTTGGAGGAAGGTGAGGGTGAAAAAGAAACCTATCAGGTACTATGCTTTTACTACTTTTAATATGAAGGTGATTAAATCAGTTGAACACTAACCCCTAGTAACGCACAATTTACTTTTCTTTTTCTTTTTGCGCCCCCCGTAATGCACAATTTACCAGTGTAACAAACTTGCCCATGTACCCCCAAAACCTAAAATAAAAGTTGAAAGAAAAAATGGTTCTGGGAAAACTGGATATACACATGTGAAAAAATACAGTTGGGGCCGGGCGAGGTGGCTCACGCCTGTAATCTCAGCACTTTGAGAGACAACCTGACATCAGGAGTTCTAGACCAGCCTGGTCAATATGGTGAAACCCATCTCTACTAAAAATAAAAAAAATTAGCCAGATGTGATGGCATATGCCTATAATCCCAGCTACTTGGGAGGCTAAGGCAGGAGAATCGCTTGAACCCAGGAGGTAGAGGCTGTAGTGAGATGACACCATGTCACTGTACTCCAGCCTGGGTGACAGAGGAAAACTGTCTCAAAAAAAAAAAGGCAGTTGGACCCTTAACTTACATACAAAAATGAGATCACAATGGACCAAAGACATAAAGGTAACAGCTAAAACTAAACAACTCTCAGAAGAAAATAGTAAAAATTATGCAGGCCATTGTTTTGGACTAAGATCCTATACTAGGCCCCAACAAATGAGACCAAACTAAAGTGGAGTCATTCATGCTGAGTGGCACATGATCAAACTAAAATTTTAAGGAAGCAGGTAGCTCTTCAAATATATCCAGTTTTTCTACAAAAGAGGGGACTCACAGCAACCAGTCGGAAAGGACCTGGTCAATCTCAGCTGGCATAATAAAGACATCCCCTCTGCTTTATCCTTTCAATAAAAGTAACCTGATGTTAACCAATCTGCTTTTTTGTTGTTGCCATTTCCCTTGTTCTTTATAAAAACCATACTTCTGTCGTGTCCAGTAGGAGCTCTTTTTCTATAGAACGGGATGGTACCCCAATTCATGAACTGCAAATAAAAGTCAACTGGATCTTTAACTCTGTTGTAATTTTCATTTTTATTTATTTATTTATTTATTTATTTATTTTAAAGATGGGGTTTCACCATGATAGCCAGGTTGGTCTTGAACTCCTGACCTCAGGTGATCCACCCACCTCAGTCTCCCAAAGTGCTAGGATTACAGGCGTGAGCCACTGTGCCCTGTGTAATTTTCATTTTTAAACAAAAACACAGGGCAAAGTTTCCATTGGGTATGGCATTGATTTCTTGGATAAAACACCAGAACACGGTTCATAAAAGAAAGACAAATTTTATTTCATCAAAATTTAAAACTTGTATGAGCCAGGCAGCTGAGGGAAGAGGATTCCTTGAGCCCAGGAGGTTGAGACTGCAGTGAGCTGGAATCACATCTGGGGGAAAGAGCAAGACCTTGTCTCCAAATAAATAAATAAACAATTCTGTGTGTCAGAAGACACTATCACACTGGGAAAAGGCAACCAGGGAATCGTAAAAAGTATCAGCAAATCATATATTTGGCAAGGTGTCAGCATCAAGAACATATAAAGAACTCCTATGACTCAACAAAAATCAACCATTTCAAAGAACAAGTCTTGGCAAGAATGTCAAGAATTTGGGGCCAGGCACAGTGGCTCACACCTGTAATCCCAGCACTTTGGGAGGCTGAGGCAGATGGATCACTTGAGGTCAGAAGTTCAAGATCAGCCTGATAAACATGGCAAAACCCGTCTCTACTAAAAATATAAAAATTAGTCAGGTGTGGTGGTCTGTAGTCCCAGCTACTCCAGAGGTTGAGAGAGGAGAATTGCTTGAACACAGGAGGTGGATGCTCCGGTGAGCTGAGATTGCACCACTGCACTCTAGAGCAACATAGTGAGACCCAGTCTCAAAAAAGAAAGAAAACATTTCAACAGAGTTCAGTGATCTAATTGGTTCTTAATGAGTCATGAATCAAGAAGCATCTTATCTATTGTTTTTTTTGGCGGGGGCGCGGAATGGAGTCTTGTTCTGTCGCCAGGCTGGAGCACAGTGGCGCAGTCTTGCATCACTGCAAACTCTGCCTTCCAGGATCAAGCAATTCTTCCGCCTCAGCCTCCCAAGTAGCTGGGACTACAGGCGCCTGCCAAACGCCCGGCTAATTTTTTTTTTGTATTTTTAGTAGAGACGGGGTTTCACCATGTTGGCCAGGATGGTCTCAATCTCTTGACCTCGTGATCCACCCTCCTCGGCCTCCCAAAGTGCTGGGATTACAGGTGCCTGCCACCACAGCCAGCTAAGTTTTGTATTTTTAGAGATGGGGTTTCACCATGTTGGCCAGGCTAGTCTCAATCTCCTGACCACAGATGAGCCATACACCTTGGCCTCTCAAAGTGCTGGGAATACAAGTGTGAGCCACCATGCCTGGCGGATTGAAGCAGAGTTTTAAACAGGCTGGCTAAGTGTTCAAAAACTGCCCCAGCACAAACAAAAAAATAGGTGTTTTTTTTTTCTTCTTAGTTTCATCATTTTTTTTTTTCTCTCCTGGCATTTAGAAAATCTGTGTGAATCTTCTGTGATCTCTGTGTTCTCTTTTGTCTGAACATAAACTAAAGAAATATAGATTTCACTGAACCCCATTTGCTTCTTAAAAAGAAAAAAAGGGGTTTCCGGCGGTGACGATCTACACACGAGAACATGCCTCTAGCAAAGGATCTCCTTCATCCGTCTCCAGAAGAGGAGAAGAGGAAACACAAGAAGAAACGCCTGGTGCAAAGCCCCAATTCCTACTTCATGGATGTGAAATGCCCAGGATGCTATAAAATCACCACGGTCTTCAGCCATGCACAAACGGTAGTTTTGTGTGTTGGTTGCTCCACTGTCCTCTGCCAGCCTACAGGAGGAAAAGCAAGGCTTACAGAAGGATGTTCTTTCAGGAGGAAGCAGCACTAAAAGCACTCTGAATCAAGATGAGTGGGAAACTA